CTCTGACTCATAACTCTATGCACAGCAGAACAAAACACTGCTCAGTCTTGTGCCAGCCTCACAATCCTTGCTATACCTGAGCCCATCGTTGCAGCCACTATGTCTGTCCTTCTTGATGAGGGCCTTCCCCTTCTTCATTGACCTCCACTTCACCAAGCATGATATCCTTCTCCAGAGAATGGTTCCCTCTGCCAACATGACCAAAGTAGGTAAAACAAAGTCTGGCCATTCTTGCTTCCAAGGAGCATTCCTGCTGCACCTCTTCAAGGACAGATTTGATAGTCCTTTTAACAAACCATGGTACTCTTAACATTCTTCTCCATACCACAACTCAAAAGTATCAACTCTTCATCGGTCTTCCTTATTCATTGTCCAGCTCTCACATGCATAAGAGGCGATTGAAAATACCATGGCTTTGGTTAGGTGTACTTTAGTCTTCTAGGAGACATCTTTGCTCTTCATCACTTGAAAGAGATTTGCCCAATGCAGTACATTGTCTGATGTCTTGACTGCTGCTTCCATTGGTGTTGACTGTAGAACCAAGTAATATGAATTCCTTAACAACTTCAATCTTTTCTCTATCCACTGTGAAGCTGTTGATTGGACCAGTTGTGAGGACTTTTGTTTTCTTTATATAGAGGTGTAATCTATACTGCAGACTGTAGTTTTTAATCTTAATCAGTAAGTGCTTCAAGTCATCCTCACTTTCAGCAAGCAAAGTTGTGTCATCTGTGTATCACAGGTTGTTAATGAGTCTTCCTCCAATCCTGATGCCACATTCTCCTTCATATAATCCAGCTTCTTGGATTATTTGCTCAGCATACAAGTTGAATAAGTGTGGTGAAAGGATACAATCCTGATACACTCCCTTCTTGATTTTGAACCATGCACTATCCCCTTGTTCTGTTCGAACAACAGCCACCTGATCAGTGTACAGGTTCCTGATGAGCATAATCAAGTGTTCTGGAATTCCCATTGTTCTCAATGTTATTCATAATTAGTTATGATCCACACAATCTAATGCTTTTGCATAGTCAATAAAACATAACATCTTTCTGGTATTCTTTGCTTTCAGCTAAGATCCATCTGACATCAGCAGTGATATCTCTCATTCCATGTCCTCTTCTGAATCCAGCTTGCATTACTGGAAACTCTCTGTCAATATACTGCTACAACCATTTTTTAATTATCTTCAGCAAGATTTTACTTGCATGTGATATTAATGATATTGTTTGATAATTTCCACATTTTGTGGTATCACCTTTCTTTGGAATGGGTACAATATGGATCTCTTCCAGTCAGTTGGCTAAGTAGCTGTCTTCCAAATCTCTTGGCATAACCGAATGAGTGCCTCCAGTGGGGCATCCATTTGTTGAAACATCTCAGTGGGTATTCTGTCAATTCTTGGAGCCTTGTTCTTCATCAGTTCTTTCAGTGAAGCTTCAACTTCTTCCTTCGATACATTTGATTCTTGATCATATGCCACCTTCTGCAATGGATGAACATCGATCAATTCTTTTGGTACAGCAATACTGTGTATTCCTTCCATCTTCTTTTAATGCTTCCTGCATCATTCAATATTTTGCCCATAGAATCTTTCGCTATTGCAACTTGAGGCTTAAATTTTTTCTTCAATACTTTCAGCTTGAGAAATGCGGAGCATGTTCTTCCCTTTTGGTTTTCTAATTCCAGATCTTTGTACATTTCATTATAATAATTGGCTTTGTCTGCTCGAGCTACTCTTTGAAATTCTCATGAGCACAATTAAGTGTTCTGGAATTCCCATTCTTCTCAATGTTATCCATAATTTGTTATGACTCACACAATTGAATGTTTTTACATAGTCAATAAAACATAAGTAAACATCTTTCTGGTATTCTTTGCTTTCAGCCAAGATCCATCTGACATCAGCAATGATATTTCTTGTTCCATGTCTTCTTCTGAATCCAGCTGGCATTTCTGGAAGTTTTCTGCCAATATACTGCTGTACTTGTTTTTGAATTATCTTCAGCAAGATTTTACTTATGTGTGTTATTAATGATATTGTTTGATAATTTCCACATTCTGTTGGATCACCTTTCTTTGGAATGAATACAAATATGGATCTCTTCCAGTCACTTGGCCAGGTAGCTGTCTTCCACATCTCTTGGCATAGCTGAGTGAGTGCCTCCAGTGTGGCATCCATTTGTTGAAACATCTCAATGTGTATTCTGTCAATTCCTGGAGCCTTGTCCTTTGCCAGTTCCTTCAGTGAAGCTTCAACTTCTTCCTTCAATACCATTGGTTCTTGATCATATGCCACTTCCTGAAATGGATGAACATCGACCAATTCTTTTTGGTACAGTGATACTGTGCATTCCTTCCATCTTCTTTTGATATTTCCTGCATCATTCAATATTTTTCCCATAGAATCTTTCTTTTTTTTTTTTTTTGGTTTTCCAACACTTGTATTTTTTTTAATGCATTTTACTGGAATATAATTTATGTACAGTGAAATACTCAAAACTAATATGACATGGGTCAATGCATTTTTTTTTTTTTTTGTAGTCTTCCTTCTCCTCCCCTCCCACCCTGGCAACCAACAAAGAAAGTTTCCCTCCATATATAAACCTTTCCTTGACCCTCCACAACAACAGACTAATACTATATTTGTTCTTCTGTGAATGACTTATTCACTCAGCACAATGTCTTCCAAGTTCATCCATATTATGCAGTGTTTTGCATTATTCTTTAGTGCTGCATAGCATTCCATTGTGTATATGCGCCATAGTTTGGTCATCCACTCTTCCACTGATAGGCACGTAGGTTGTTTCCATCTTTTTGTTATTGTAAATAGTGCTGCAATGAACATGGGTGTGCATATATCTCTTCCTGTCCTGGCTCTCACCCCTCTAGGATATATACCTAGTAATAGGATTGCTGGGTCAAATGGTATCTCCAATTCCAGCTTTCTAAAGAATCACCATACTGCTTCCCACAGTGGTTGTATCACTTCACAGTCCCACCAGCAGTGTATGAGAGTCCTAATTTCTCCACATCCCTACCAGCATTTGTTATTTCCAGCATTTGTTATTCTCTGTCTCATTGAACCTTGCCATCAGTGCTGAGGTGAGACAGTTTCTCATTATTGTTTTGATTTGCATCTCTCTGATGGCCAATGATCGTGAGCATCTCTTCATGTATTAGCTGGCCACTTGAATATCCTCCTTGGTGAAGTGTCTATTCATGTCTTCTGCACATTTTTCAATTGGATTGTTAATCCCTTTGCAGTTGAGGGGTTGGAGTTTTCTATAAATCTTAGAGATAAGTCCCTTGCCACATATGTAATTATCAGCAAATATGAATTTGTTGCTGTCATTTTTGTTATGTGCTTTTTCATGATGTTGATTTCTTTGTTCCATATAATTTTCTGTGCTGAGCTCATTTTGTTTATGAATCTTATTATCATTTCCTTCATTGCTGTTGGTTTAGTATTTGCTAAATATTTGTGCTTGTTCTCTTTTTTTATTTTGATGTGAAGGTTTATCATTTTTCTTTGAGGTTACCCTGTGATTTATAGTTTTCTTCCCAAGTTTAGAACAGTCCATTCTATCTTGTAGTTGTCCATAGAATCTTTTAATATTGCAACTTGAGGCCTGGATTTTTCCTTCAGTTGTTTCAGTTTGAGAAATGCCAGTATGGTCTTCCCTTTTGGTTTTCTAATTCCAGGTCTTTGCACGTTTCATTATAATAATTGACTTTGTCTTTTCGAGCTGCTCTTCAAAATCATCTGTTCAGCTTTTTTATCTTGTCATTTCTTCCATTGGCTTTAGTTACTCTCCTTCAAGGACAGGTTTCAGAGTCTCTTCTGACATCCATTTTGGTCTTTTCCTCCTTGCCTGTCTTTTTAATGACCTTTTGCTTTCTTCATGGATGATCTTCTTGATGTCATCCCACAACTCCTCTGGTTTTCAGTCATTGGTGTTCAATGTATCAAATCTATTCTTTAGATGGTCTCTAAATTCATGGTCATATTTTGGCTCTCATGGACTTGTTTTAACTGTGTTCAGCTTCAACTTGAACTTGCATATGAGCAGTTGACAGTCTGTTCCACAATCAGCTGCTGGCCTTGTTTTGGCTGAAGATATTCTGAACTATGTTGTTGTTGTTATTTGCCGTCGAGTCGCCCCTGACTCATAGCGACCCTCCTTGGGTTTCCGAGGCAGTATCACTACAGAAGTAGGATTGCCCAACCTTCCTTCCGAGGAGCGGCTGGTGGGTTTGAACCGCCAGCCTTCTGGTTAGCAGTCAAGTGCTTTAGCCACTATGCTACCAGAGCTCCCATTCTGAAGTATAGGAGTACATTAAAATATTAGCAGTGATTTTCTTTGTGTTTTGAGATTATGGGTGATCTTTTCTTCTCCAGATATTTTCCTAGTTTTTTTTTTTTTTTTTTTTAATGATTATGTATAGTTTCTATAGTCAGAAGGAAAACACACACCTCCCTCCATCCTCACCCCTTCTGATCAGAATCTGCCCCTCTCCTCTCCCTCAGACCAAGTCCGGAACAGCTACTACATCGGGGCAGATGGCTCCCTGCGGTTGTTGCTGGCCAATGGCATGGAGGTGGCACTACAGACGGAGCCCCACCTGCTGGCGGGCACTGTCAACCCCACCGTAGGCAAGAGGAATGTCACACTGCCCATCGACAACGGACTTAATCTGGTAGAGTGGCGACAGCGCAAGGAACAGGCTCGTGGCCAGGTCACCGTCTTTGGGCGCCGGCTGCGGGTGAGCAAGGCCTTGCCAAGCAAAGGTCTCAGCCTCTGGATCTTGTGGGAAAAGAAAGAAGAAGGAAGCTGGAGTGCTAGGTTATATTCTTGAAACTCTCTCTGATTTGAGGGAAAAACTTTTCTTGGGACCTCAGTTTCCTTGTCTGTAAAAGGGAGAATGTAAATCAGGGAACCACATGTAATAAGAGTTTTTTTTGCCTGTCTTTTAGTTTTTACTTGTAGAAAGATCTCTGACCTTGTAGTTAGTTCTGAGCTGTAGTTCCAGCTATATAGCGTTCCCTCAGTAAGCTTGGGCAAGTCTTAGAGCCTCAATTTCATTATCTATAAAGTGAGGGAAACCAAACCAATTTTACCATACTACAAGGATTAGAAATAATGTATAAAGTGCCTCATTCAGAGTGTGGAATATAATGAGTGACCAGCAATAGCTGTCCTTGTTGTTGTTGCTATCATTATTGTTGTTGTTACAATTTCTGTATGTACCAAATTTCAGTTTAACTGTTTGGAACCTAAACACCTAAACTTAAAACATATTTTCCACTCTCTTCAGACAGAGTTATCCTTCCAAAATGAGCAAAACTATCACCACCATAGCTGTCACTGTCAGTGAGCTGGCATCTGTGGCCTGGCATTTCAAAGTATTTTTCAATATGTGGATGCCATGAACCAGCCCTTTCTCTGCCTCACTTCCCACGTTTCTGAAGAGTGTGACCTCTGCCCCAAGCCCTGACTACCCAATTTATTTTCCCTTCAGCATCAGAAAGGAGGGTGACAGGGAAGGTGAACACTAATGAACTAGCCCTGGCTTTCAGCACAGCACCTTGCAGATATGTGCTAAGCTGATAGGAACCAAACTGAGCCAGATGTTTCTAACATTCTAAAAACCACAGAACCATCAGCAGAGCAATGTATCTGAGACTCTTTGAAGTCCCCTGCCCTTCAGCAAAGAAAGCTTATTTAAACCCCTGTTTTACATGTGCGAGGACCAAGATCCACAGAGGGTAAGTGATTTTTTCCCAGAGTCACATGGTTAGGTAGTGGTCAAGACTAGAACATAGGCACTCTGTCTCTTAGTTCAATGCCCACAACAGAATCCAGGAAACCAGACTTCCCTAGTTCCTTCAGTTGAATTCAGCCAAGAACCCTAGCAGTCATGTTATATGGTAACAACCTTCCATTAGTTCCCTGTTTGAATTCTCAAAGAGCCCTTCATGCACATCTTCGGCTTCCAACACTTCTTTCCAGTGTACTAAATGGAGAGTTTGACCGAGTTAGAGTCATGCCTGGGCATGTGTGGACTCCTGAGCAACTCTACTTCTCTGAGTCTCAGGTTTCTTTGCAAAAACAAGGTAATATATTCAAAGCCACCTAACCTAGTGCTGATCGACCCCAGGTGTTCAATAAACAGCAGTGATTAGTACTATTAGGATTTCTTTCCATCGTGTGAACTGGACCAAAAGTTTCCCAGGTTTTAATTGGTCCCTCTCTCAGCCACAGATTAATGGTGCTCCAGTCGGGTGGCCACATCTCTGTGTCCTCCCGAAATAAATGGCCACCCACAGTGGCAGCATGTGGAATTAGATGTTAGCCGAGTGCGCCTCTCCATAATGGAGCTCATTTTTTATACAACTGGGAACTTTTTAATAAAGAAAGATGTAAAATAATCTCATTGCTGCCACTGCCGAGCTCAGGAAGCATTAGGCGGTTCCCCAGTGAGCTGCTTAATTCAATTTTATTAATTTTTTCCACAGAGGTATAGCTCCCCTTCACTAGGGGTCCTGTGGGGGTCAGGTGGGCTGCTGGCTGGGTATCACCATCCTGGGTGGGGAGACCCTCAGGGGACCTTACAAAGAGATTCTTTGGAAAGGTCCCCATCATGATCGGCAGTGCAGCCCCTGTATCTTCCTTTGCATCCTCTGCAGAAAACACAGCTTCAGCCTCCAACGTCTCAGATTTTTCATGGGAATTGTCTGCCACACTGTTTTTGCTTCTGTGATTGTGTTTGATTACCCCAGGGAAGGCAACCTTATTATAACCAGGCCATTCACAGCTAAAGTTGTCTAGGCATCATCATTATAAATCCTTATCTTCAGGGCTTTATAATTTGTATGGGGAGAAGGGAGAGACATACATGTCTCTACTTCCAGTGAGAATGGTCAGTGATCATTTGCTGTCATTTAATGGAAATCATTGCAGCCATTTATTAGCCCAGCAGTCCACTAGCTAATTTACATGCTCCTTCAAGCCTCACAACTCTGGAGTTGTACAGAAGAAGAGTATGAGACTCAGAGAAGCCAAGGGACTTCCCCAACGTCACACAGAAAGTTCATCACAAAGTGGAGGCTGGAATCCTGGCCTTAATTCCTAGACCTAGGACAACCCCCCCTCCCCCTTTTTTTTTAACCACACAAGGCTCCAAAGAGGCCTTTCATTACTTCAGTCCACATGTGGAGTTTTGCACTAAAGGATCTAAACAATCTGCTTTCCTCTTGGGTCTTCCTTACTACTGCTCAAAGTTAACCAGTGACTAATAGAAGGAGAAAAAATATGCTCAAATGTCACATAAGACCAAGAACCAATCAGAGGAGTTAGCATTTTAGCTTCAAAGTACCCGGCAGGATTTCAGGGGCAGCAAGTGCCTAAGAGATAGAACTAAAGACAGAAACAGACCCCAGGATTATTTTTCTTTATTAAAATATGAAAAACTCTGATTTAATGCTAACCCTTTGGGAGTCCTATATTTCTTATTCTGAAAGGAAATTGAATTGTGTATTGATCTAGCAGACTGGATGGAGATCCTGATCCCGGAGACAGGAGCAAAATATCCCAAAGCAAAGGCTGTGTCCCCAGTCAGCCCTCAGCCAGAGAAGCTGCCACACTCTCAACACTGCCCCCAGGTCCTCCATGGCAAGGGGCTCAAAATATGCTTTTGGACTGACTGGGATGACTAAGAAGCTCTAACATTGTTATCAAAGGGCAGGAGACACCCCAGGGAAATGGGAAGCCAAGAGCCTTGAGAAGAGCAGGACTCATTCAGAGGACCACTGAGCATTTCTTGGCACATTGCAGTGGTAACAGTCAAATCCAGACCTATCTCTCACCAGCCAAGGGATCTGAAGCAAGGCTTTTCACCTCTCTGAGCTTTGGTTTCCATAGGCCTAGATGAGATAATATGTGTTAAACACTAGCACAGTGCCTGGCACATAACAGATGGGGTCAGGCATTTATTTTCTAAGCCCACTTAGCTTCTCTTTTCAGGAGGGAGCCAAGAAAGATCTGCCTTTGTTCATGTCATCATTAGAAAAATCACATCAGGAAGTGACGTGGACCACCTTTTACAACAGCAACTGTTTGTTCAGCATGTGCATTGTCTTTGTCCTCACAGTAGCCCTACACAGTAGTGATTGTTATTCCCACTTTACAGATGAAACTTCACAGAGCAGACAAATGACAGAACCAGAACTCAAACCCATGTCTGTTGATGCCCAGGACCTGCCTCTTCTAACCAGAAACCTCTCAGTATACTTGAGAGCCAGACTGGCCATCAGACCAAAGTTCTCAACGTACAGATTAATTTTCTGTTTTCTTCTACCCCTTCTCCAGGTTCACAACCGAAATCTCTTGTCTCTGGACTTTGACCGTGTGACACGCACAGAGAAGATCTATGATGACCACCGCAAGTTCACCCTACGGATCCTGTATGACCCGGCAGGGCGCCCCAGCCTCTGGTCACCCAGCAGCAGGCTGAATGGTGTCAATGTGACATATTCCCCAGGGGGCCACATTGCTGGCATCCAGAGGGGCATCATGTCTGAGAGAATGGAATATGACCAGGCAGGTCGCATTACATCCAGGATCTTTGCCGATGGGAAGACATGGAGCTACACATACTTAGAAAAGGCAGGTGTTTGTTTCCCTCTATCACTGGCCCCATGTAGAAGGCCAATCATTATGGCTTCACCCATGGCCAGACCCAGCATGCTGACCTCAATGAACATAACCTATGTTCAGGAAAAAAATGTCTTAGAAGGTCAGGGGCCCCTGAGAGACCTCTGGATAGATAATGATGATGGTGTGGTAGATGGGGGTCTGGTAGAGCCGGTAGTAGGCCCAAACACTAACTTGACTTACAGAGCAAGACTTGGGGTCAGGAATCATAGCAAGAACCTGCTCCCAGGTCTAGGGTACATGGTGAGATCCAGTCACAGAGAACAAGACAGAAGCCTAGATATCAGTACGTAGGCCAAAAAACCAAATCAAACTCACTGCCGTTAAGTCATTTTGACTCATAGTGACCCCTCCTTGGGTTTCCAAGGCAGTATTTCTATGAAAGTAGATTGCCCAGTCTTCCTTCTGAGGAGTGGCTGGTGGGTTTGAACAACCAGTCTTCTGCTTGGCATTCAAATAATGAGCTTTGAATTCTGGGTTGAGGGTAGGGTGGGGACCTAGTAAATCCCTTTTGCTTCAGGTCAGGATTCATTTCATCCCAGGGGCTGGGAAGCAGAAAGGGTTTGAAATCAAAAGTTAGACCCAAACAAGAGGAAATGATAGCTCTGCTGCCTCTTGCCTGAAACAAAGTCAATTCCTCATGCCACACTTCAGGTACCTGGCTTCCTGCTTTATTTCCTGCTCCTGGTCCCCTGTCCATGGCTCAGGCTCTACTTTCCCTGTAGTCAGTCTTCCCTACCTTGTGCTATGTGAGTACCTCTGAGACTAATGTTCTCTGGTAGTGCTAAGAAAGAGAATCTGGGATGTCATCCAACATACTGAAAAACCAACCCCAGAGAGGAGAACTTTCCCAAGACCACATAATGAATCAATTGTAGAACCCAGGTTTTCCCATTTCTATCACAGCCTGCCCCACCCCAGGGTGAGTGTATGACCTGCTAGTATATAAACAATTGTTCAAAGCCTTAAACACCATTCTCAGAGATGGTCTTTATCCTGGAGGTCATAGGGAGTCAACAGAAGTTGTTTAGCAGGCAGTAGACATTGTCAGATTTCTGTTTTAGGAAAATCATTCTCACTTCAATGGGAGAATTGATCTGAGGAGTCAGAAGCAAGGAAACCAGTAGGGAGGCTATCACAAATACTTCAGGCCAGTGCTTCTCAAGCTTTCTCACAGAGTATCACATGCAAAAATAATAAATTTTATAACACACAATGGGATAGACAGATAAGACTGCCAGGGCCAAAGGCTGAGAGAACTCCTCATCTTAGCATATCCATTACCCATTTATAGTATCAAGTATGGCATACAGGTTAGAAACCTCTGATTTGGGTGTAACTTTGGAGAAACACCAGTTTCCTTGGACTTTCTCTTCCTTTAAGTCTTGAGTACACTGACCTACTCTTTCTCCTTGCCACCCCTCCTGATCTCTTTGTTTTCCTTTCCTTCCAGTCCATGGTGCTACTTCTCCACAGCCAGAGGCAGTACATCTTTGAATTCGACAAGAATGATCGCCTCTCTTCTGTGACGATGCCCAATGTGGCCCGACAGACATTAGAGACCATTCGCTCAGTGGGCTACTACAGGAATATCTACCAACCCCCTGAGGGCAATGCCTCAGTCATCCAGGACTTCACTGAGGATGGACACCTCCTCCACACTTTCTATTTGGGCACTGGGCGCAGGGTGATATACAAGTATGGCAAGCTGTCAAAGCTGGCTGAGATGCTGTATGACACCACCAAGGTAAGCTTCACCTATGATGAAACAGCAGGCATGCTGAAAACCATCAACCTACAGAATGAGGGCTTCACTTGCACCATCCGCTACCGTCAAATTGGGCCCCTGATTGACCGGCAGATCTTTCGCTTCACCGAGGAAGGCATGGTCAATGCTCGTTTTGATTACAACTATGACAATAGCTTCCGGGTGACCAGCATGCAGGCCGTGATCAACGAGACCCCACTGCCCATTGATCTTTATCGCTATGATGATGTGTCAGGCAAGACAGAGCAGTTTGGGAAGTTTGGTGTCATCTACTATGATATTAACCAGATCATTACCACAGCAGTCATGACCCACACCAAGCACTTTGATGCCTATGGCCGAATGAAGGAAGTGCAGTATGAGATTTTCCGCTCGCTTATGTACTGGATGACTGTCCAGTATGACAACATGGGGCGAGTAGTGAAGAAAGAGCTGAAGGTGGGACCTTATGCCAATACCACCCGCTACTCTTATGAGTATGATGCTGATGGCCAGCTGCAGACAGTCTCCATCAATGATAAGCCACTCTGGCGCTACAGCTATGACCTCAATGGGAACCTACACTTACTCAGCCCTGGCAACAGTGCACGGCTCACTCCACTACGGTACGACCTCCGTGACCGTATCACTAGGCTGGGTGACGTGCAATACAAGATGGATGAGGATGGCTTTCTGAGGCAGCGAGGCAGTGATGTCTTTGAGTATAACTCAGCTGGCCTGCTCATCAAGGCGTACAACCGGGCTGGTGGCTGGAGTGTCAGGTACCGCTACGATGGCCTGGGGCGGCGGGTGTCCAGCAAGAGCAGCCACAGTCACCATCTGCAGTTCTTCTATGCAGACCTAACCAACCCCACCAAGGTCACCCACCTCTACAACCACTCCAGCTCTGAGATCACTTCCCTCTACTATGACCTGCAAGGACACCTCTTTGCCATGGAGCTGAGCAGTGGCGATGAGTTTTACATAGCCTGTGACAACATCGGGACCCCTCTTGCTGTCTTCAGTGGAACAGGCTTGATGATCAAACAGATCTTGTATACAGCCTATGGAGAGATCTACATGGACACCAACCCCAACTTCCAGATCATCATTGGCTACCATGGTGGCCTCTATGATCCCTTCACTAAACTTGTCCACATGGGCCGACGGGACTATGATGTGCTGGCTGGACGCTGGACCAGCCCAGACCATGAGTTGTGGAAGCACCTTAGTAGCAGCAACATCATGCCTTTTAATCTCTATATGTTTAAAAACAACAACCCCATCAGCAACTCCCAGGACATCAAGTGCTTCATGACAGGTGAGTATTATCAGGGAGCATTCAGAGGGCAGGACTCACTAGATTACTTTGGTCATCTAAAAAGTCTTCCTTAAGAAAGCTGATGGGAAGCGCTGACTTTCTCTTAGAGCAGCATTATCCAAAGTATATTTGAAGAAACAGTAAGTCAGAGAAATTCTGTGCAAAAGTAAGTTCTGACACCAAATAAATTTGACAGAGCAACTACCATTCTTAAATTTTCATTTACATTTTAGCTTATTAAAGGCTCTTTGGAAAGTCCCAAAGTAAAGAGAACTGTTTCATGTATTTACCCAATATTTTTCACACTTATTTGACCATAAACCTCTCCCCCTACCTTTTTTTCACCATGACACCCTAAAATCTCATTAGATATATCCTTTGGAATACACTTTGGGAATGTCTGACCCAGAGATCAGGCTGGCTATGAGTCTTGATAAGTATAGCTTTTTAAAAAAAAAAAAAAAAAATCTGTTATTTGAGATGATATAATGGAAAATCCATTTCTAATCTATGAGATGTTATAAAAATTATTGACTGCCTTGAATTCCAGTTTCCTGATTTGTAAATGAGAGTTAGTATACCAACCTTGGTATACTTGGTACATTAAATGTGCATATTATAAACTCTAGAACAACCACTTGGAAAAATAAAATATAACAGGTATATCTAATAAGCCAATGTTGTTGTTGTTGTTGTTAGGTGCTGTCAAGTCAGCTCTGACTCATAGTGACCCTATGTACAAGACAACAAACCACTGCCTGGTTTGTGCCAGTCTCACAATCCTTGCTACACCTTGCTATACAATCATTGAAGCCACTGTGTCAATCCATCTCATTGAGGGCCTTCTCCTTTTTCATTGACCCTGCACTTTACCAAGCATGGTATCCTTCTCCAGGGAATGGTCCCTTTTGACAACATGACCAAAGGAGTTGAGACAAAGCCTGGCCATTCACACTTCCAAGGAGCATTCTGGCTACATCTCTTCCAGGACAGATTTATTTGTTCTTCTGGCAGTCCATGGTACTTTCAGTTTTCTTCACCAACACCACAACTCAAAAGCACCAACTCTTCTTCAGTCTTCCTTGTTCATTGTCCAGCTCTCACATGCATATGAAAAAAAAAAAAAAAAAAAAACCAAACTCACTGCCATCAAGTCAGATCCCGACTCATAGCGACCCCTCCTTGGGTTTCCAAGGTGGTATCACTATGGAAGTAGATTGCCCAACCTTCCTTCCGAGGAGTGGCTGGTGAGTTTGAACTGCTAGCCTCCTGTTCAGCAGTCAAATGCCTTAGGCACTACGAGGTGATTGAAAATACCATGGCTTGGGTTAGGCACACCTTAGTTTTCAAGGAGACATCTTTGCTCTTTAGCACTTTAAAGAGGTCTTTTGCAACAGATTTTCCCAGTGCAATACGTCATCTGATGTCTTGAATGCTGCTTCCATTGGTGTTGATTGTGGAACCAATTAATACGAAATTTTTAACAACTTCAATCTTTTCTCCATTTATTGTGATGCTGCTTATTGGTCTAGTTGTGAGGATTTTCATTTTCTTTATGTTGAATCCATACTGCACACTGAAGTCTTTAATCTTCATCACTAAGTGCTTCAAGTCATATTCACTTTCAGCAAGCAAAATTGTGTCATCTGAGTATCGCAAGTTGTTAATGAATCTTCCTCCAATCCTGATGCCATGTTCTTCTTTTTATAATCCATCTTCTTGGATTATTTGTTCAGCATATAGATTGAATAAGTATGGTGAAAGGATACAACTCTGACACACACCCTTCCTGATCTTCAACCATGCAGTAATTCCATGGTCCCTTTGAATGACAGCCTCCTGGTCTATGTACAGGTTCCTGATGAGCATAATCAAGTGTTCTGGAATTCCCATTTTTCTCAAGGTTATCCGTAATGTGTTATGATCTATACAATCAAATGCTTTTGCATAGTCAATAAAATACAAGTAAACATCTTTCTGATATTCTTTGCTTTGAGCCAAGATCTATCTGATATCAGCAATGATATCCCTCATTCCATGTCCTCTTCTGAATCCAACTTGCATTTCTGGAGGTTCTCTGTCAATATACAGCTACAACCATTTTTTAATTATCTGAAGCAAGATTTCACTTGTGTGTGATATTAATATTGTTCAATAATTTCCACATTCTGTAGGATCACCTTTCTTTGGAATGGGTCCAAATATGGATCTTTTCCAGTCAGTTGGCAGGTAGCTGTCTTCCAGATTTCTTGGCATAGATGAGTGAATGCCTCCAGTGTGGCATCTGTTTGTTAAAACGTCTCAATGGGTATTCCATCAGTTCATGAAGCCTTGTCTTTTGCCAGTTTCTTCAGTGCAGCTTCAACTTCTTTCTTCAGTACCATTGGTTCTTGATCAGATACTACCTCCTGAAATGGATGAACATCAACCAATTCTTTTTGGTACAGTGACTTTTTGTATTCCTTCTATCTTCTTTTGATATTTCTTGCATCATTCAATATTTTGCCCATAGAATCTTTCAATATTGCAACTTGAGGCTTGAATTTTTCCTTTGGTTCATTCAGCTTGAGAAATGCCAACTATGTTCTTCCCTTTTGGTTTTCTAACTCCAGGTCTTTGCACATTTCATTATAAAAATTTACTTTGTCTTCTCGAGCTGTTGTCTGAAATCTTCTGCTCAGCTCTTTCATCTTGTCATACCTTCCATTTGCTTTAGCTACTCTCTATTCAAGGGCAAGTTTAAGAGTCTCTTCTGACATCCATTTTGGTCTTTTCTTCCTTGCCTGTCTTTTTAATGACCTTTTGCTTTCTTCATGGATAATGTTCTTGATGTCATCCCACAATTCTTCTGGTTTCTCGGTCATTGGTGTTCAATGCATCAAACCTATTCTTTAGTTGGTCTCTAAATTCAGGAGGGATACAATCAAGGTCATATTTTGGCTCTCATGGACTTGTTTTAATTGTCTTCAGCTTCAACTTGAATTTGCATATGAGCAGTTGATGCTCTATTCCACAATCAGCTCCTGGCCTTGTTTTAGTTGAAGATATTGACCTTCTCCATTCCCTCTGTCCACAGATGTAGTTGATCTGATTCCTGTGTACACCATCTGGTAAGGTCCATGTGTATAGGCACCATCTATGTTGTTGAAAAATGGTATTGCAATGAATAAGTCATTGGTCTTGCAAAATTCTATCATGTAATCTCCAGCATTATTTCTATCATATTTTCTAACTACTGGTGATTCTTCTTTGTTTCCAACTTTTGCATTCCAGTCACCATTGATAATCTTGACTGCATGTTTGGTCAATTTCAGACTGCAGAAGTTGGTAAAAATCTTCAATTTCTTCATCTTTGGTTTTGGTGGTTGGTGTGTAAATTTGAATAATAGTAGCATTAACTGGTCTTCCTTGGAGGTGTATGGATATTATCCTATCACTGACAACACTGTACTTCAGGATAGATCTTGAAACATTGTTTGCGATGATGAATGCCACTCCATTGCGATGAATGCCACTCCATTGCGCTTCAGTCTGTCATTCCTAGCATAGTAGATCTATGGTTATCTGGTTCAAAATGGCCAAAACCAGTCCATTGTAGCTCACTAATGCCTAGGATATCGATCTTTATGTGTTCCATTTCATTTTTGACAACTTCCAATTTTCCTAGATTCATACTTCATACATTCCATGATCTGATTATTAATGGATGTTTGCAGCTGTTTCTTCCCATTTTAGTCATACCACATCAAAAAATGGAGGTCCCAAAAAGTTTACTCCCTCCACATCATTAAGGTCGGCTCTACTCTGAGGAGGCAGCTCTTCCCCAGTCGTATTTTGAGTGCCTTAGTCCCTAAAGCATTTGACTGCTAACCAGAAGCCTGGCAGTTCAAACCCACCAGCCACTCCTCAGAAGGAAGTTTGGGCAATCTACTTCTGTAGTGATATCACCTTGGAAACCCAAGGAGGGGTCGCTATGAGTCGGATCTGACTCAATGGCAGTGAGGTGTTTTTTTTTGTTTTTGTTTTTGTTTTCTCCTAACCTAAGGGGCTCATCTTCCAGCACTATATTGGACAGTGTTTCAGGGCTATTCATAAAGTTTTCTAATAATATATCAGACAGTGTTTCACTGCTATAAGTAAGGTTTTCACTGGCCAGTTCTTTAAGAAGTGGATGGGCCCTTCCTTCTTCTTAGTCTGTCTTAGTTTGGAAGCTCTGCTGAAACCTGTCCACCGTGGGTGACCCTGATGGTATTTGTAATACCGGTGACATAGCCTCCAGCCTCACAGCAACATGCAAGCCACCACAGTATGAGAAACTGACAGACAAGTGGTGGAATAAGCCAATAGTGGACATAAATTGGAATACTAAAAAAATACTTAATCTAAAGAGGACAGGAAAAAGAACAAATGAAAGAAATAGAAAACAAATAACTATCTTGAAGAGTGCTTACAAGGGTGAAATGAGATTGATGGCTCACATTGGTTCCCTTTCCTCTACTCTCTGATTCAAAAACTGAGCTTTACCTCCTTCTCCTGTGAAACCAACTTGGGTATAAAGTTCTCCATAGGTAACACAGGACAGAGATGTCCCTGATAGCCAGAGTCCTTCCAGCCAGCAGCCACACCCAAGCTAGCCACAGAAAACCTCAAGAGTCAGAGCCACCATTAGGATTCAGATCTGGATAAAGCCAGCACCTTTTATATATGAGAGTTTGTTGTGGACAATAATTTGATGTATCCCAGCTTTCAGACCCTGGAGTCCCCACCTCTTTTGTCCTGTGACAGAATCCTCTTGGTCCTATTATATGAGTTTTACCCATTCATTTATCAAGTGCCTCCTCTCCTGTGCCAAGTGCTGTTTTAGGCACTAGGAATACAAAGATGATCCCTGCCCTCCAGGGGTTCACAATGTAAGAGACAGACACTTATTTTCTAATGTGAGGGAGACCATGATGGCAGTTTGCATAGATGGGCATCAAAAGACAGAGGAGAAACAACTG